GGTTGGTATCCTAATGCCTCATCGCACAAACCACCAATGATCCGCATAAAACATGTTTATGTAGAAATATATATATATATATATATATAACTCATCAAAGCAATCAACAATGTCAATGCAACACAAATCTAAACACTGTTGTAAAGTTGAAAGACTGACTTCATTAGATCTAATCTCCAGATACTCTTTTCATGATAACAGAACTATGCTTAACAGCTTATTATTGTCAACTCCACCATTTAAATTCATCCTTTCACACAAATCAGTCCCCTTAACATTCATTTTAGTTCTAAAACATCATGAGGCCCCAAAAGATTGATTTAATAAAGTACGATTGATAAACTGCAGGCTTACAATGTTCTAATGTTGAATATTTTAATATAAATTGATGATGATCTAAATCCATATGCAATAGCCAAGTCAATCAAAGACTTAAAATGTTTATGACCATGCACATCATAGAACTCAACTAACTAGACTGAACCTGAAGCCAATCAACAAATAAGTGAGAAGGAGAAAGCAATCCAACTAGAATGGTTTAGAATGAACCTGAGTTTGTCATATGTACTTCTTCTTCTTCTTCTTCTTCTTCTTCTTCTTCTTCTTCTTCTTCTTCTTGTCTTTCTTTGATATGTGAACCTGCATTTAATAAGAACAAATAACATGAATAAAATGTCATATGAAAATTTCATAATTAATTATTTACTCACTTCCCCGGATGAACGATGGCAATTAAACGATGAGGTGTATGCATGGGATTGTTGCTGTGAATGCATATATGTAGCAGCTGGTGCAACAGGCCCACCCATGGCCTGTTGAGACTCCAATTGCTCTATGCGTGCTTGTTGAGCTTGGATTATGCCTTGCATCTCTATTTGTACTTTCTGTTGATTAAGCATAGCATCCATCATCTCTTTCATTTGCATCTCCATTTGTGCTTTATATTGGTTAAGTTGCTCTTGGACTTGCATTTGGATGATACGAGTGTAGACACCCCATTTTTGACCGACCTTGAGACTCAGACGTCACCGATTGAGCGCTTGGTGATGTTGCATATCATGCTCGTTCAGAGGTTTCAGAGTCTCGGCTGCGAGCTTCGCCTCCGGACTTCCCGACTCTGTCATGCTTTGCCTCGGTTTGCGAACCAGGCTCTGTTTTCTCTTCTCGAAGGGAGGGAGAGGTCTCGTAGGTCATCTCTCAGTGGCCGTAGGCTACGTTTCGTGGTCGTAGGCCATTTTTCCCGTTTGGAGTCTGATTTTCGATTTTTCAGAGCCGTTGGCCGTGTGCCTCGGTTCGGAACCGCATAACCACCTCCGTTTGCTCCGGTTTTTGGCATGCATCTTATTTGCTCCCTTTTGAGGGACACTGTGGCTCGAAAAACCAACTTCATGGTCGAACACCACTTTCGGTGCTTAACAGTCAGTTTTCGGGGCCTCGGGCTGTGCGTTTCGGCCCCCGAACCTTCATTTTGCATCGGTTTTGGCTCATTTTTGGTGGAGACCTTGTTTTCACTGCTAAGAAGGTCGTAGAAGGGTGGGAGGCCAGTAATTGTTCTGACAACCAGTTTTATTCCTCCATCGCCCTCCGTCGCCCGTTTTTCTCACTTGAAAGCCAATGTTGACCACCCTAAGGCCACTTTTTCTTGCCCCAAACCACATATTTGTGTTGTACACACCTGGGAGGCCACCAATATCACATGGCCGGCCAGTAATTGTGTCTGACCCTTTTGAACCCCTCCAAAAAGTGGACTTTTCTCTCTCCTGGTTTACTTTCTCCAGTTTTTGACCACATGGTTGTGTTGTGCACACATGGGAGGCCACCAATCTGGGGTGGCCGGCCACTAATACTGCTTGACCCTTTTGACCCTTGGCCGACCGGCCATGGGAAAGGCCAACCGGCCACCTAAACCCTAGGAAACCGGCCGGCCATGATCCTCTCTCCAGGTACTTTACGAAAATGCCCTCTGTTTCCCCCCAGATTTTGTATCCGGGGGGGCCAACTTTTGAGGAGAAATTTGAAATCCATTTCCCCCCCCCTTTTTTTCCCACTCCTCTGCCTATATAACCAGCACCCTCAACTGTGTTTTGAGGGTTACAAAAATTGCTTTGAGGCTCTTGCATTGATCCTCCCTCTCCTTTTTTTCCAAGCACCAAAACCTCTCAAGTCCTACACAATTTACCCTACACCCCTTAGCACAAGGCCTCCACCCTCCATTCCAGCAGCTTCAAGGCCATTTCCAGAGGTTAAGGGCTCCCAAACTTGGTCCAAGAGTTGTTGACGCATTGGTCTTCAAGGGTAAGTCTTCTATCCCTCTCTTTGGCCCTATTTTTGCTCAATATATTAGCTCCTCTTGCTTACATATTTGGGCTCCGACCCTAATTGAAAATAGATTATTTTGAGCTCCTTTTCATGTTTGTTTAAGGGCCTCTCCCTGTTTGAGGCTTCCTTTTTACACTTGCTTCTTTACCTCTCTTGTATGCCTCTTTCTTGCATAGTATTTTAGGCCTATTTGTAAATTGTTTTGAGCTTGGTTATAAACTGTAAAGTGACTTATTTTGAGCCCTTCTTCAATATTGTTGAAGGGATATTCACTGTTTGAGGCTTCCTTTTGTCACTTGCCTCTTTATCCCTCTTTTGGCCTTACTTTTGCATGTTTGTTAGCCCCTTGTTCTTGCATTTTTGGGCTCTGGTCCGAACTATAAATAGATTTATTTTGACCCTCTCTTCATGTTTTATCAAGAGAGTTTTGATTTTTGAAGCTCCCTTTTTGCTCTTTGTGTTTAAACCTCTTTTTAAGCCTTATTTTGCATAGTATTTTAAGCTTGCATGTGCACTGTTTTGGGTTTGGTCACTAACTGTAAAATACCATGTTTTGGGCCCCTCTTCAACTTTGTTGAAGGGTCCTACTCTGTTTGAGGCCAGAAACCATCACTTGCTTCTTTGTCTCCCTTTTGGCCCATTTCTTGCACAATAGTTTAGCCATACTTGTGTTTGTTTTCGTGGCTTGTTGTAAACTGTAAAGTGCTTCCTTTTGAGCCCCTCTTAAACTTTGTTGAAGGGATCTTGGCCATTTAGGGCCATAAGATGCTACTTGCTTCATTATCTCTCTCACGGGGCCATTTTTGCATGCTAACTTAGCCCTATTTGTGTTCACTTTTTGGCCTTGCTTGAAACTGTAAATATGCTTTTTTTGGGACTTTCTTGATTCTGTCTTCATAATTCATGTTCAAATAATGCATGCTTTGCATAGCCATAGGTCATTCCATGTACCTCATTTCATATTTCGGGATTCATTTCATGCATCGGGTGCCATGTTTCCATGTTTCGGGGCTGTTTTGTGTCGTATTTTAGCGCTGAAATTTGCATGTTTGCATACCATGTTCCATGCCTTGCCATGCTTTGGTAGAGTGGCATTCGTGCCTTAGGTTCGGTCCTCGATTTGCATGCACGTGTGCACGCATTTCGAGTATCTCATTTTTCATCTTATGGCTATTGATGCGAGTGTGGCTGAGGTCCACTCATGTTGGTATAAGTCCATTGTGCATTGTGTATGCCATTTCATTTCATAGCATTGTGTATGCTAGGTTGTATGTTAGCGCATTGTGTATGCCATGTTACCTCGTGCATCGTGTATGCCATTTCATAGCATTGTGTATGCTAGGTTGTATGTTAGCGCATTGTGTATGCCATGTTACCTCGTGCATCGTGTATGCCATTTCATAGCATTGTGTATGCTAGGTTGTATGTTAGCGCATTGTGTATGCCATGTTACCTCGTGCATCGTGTATGCCATTTCATAGCATTGTGTATGCTAGGTTGTATGTTAGCGCATTGTGTATGCCATGTTACCTCGTGCATCGTGTATGCCATTTCATAGCATTGTGTATGCTAGGTTGTATGTTAGCGCATTGTGTATGCCATGTTACCTCGTGCATCGTGTATGCCATTTCATAGCATTGTGTATGCTAGGTTGTATGTTAGCGCATTGTGTATGCCATGTTACCTCGTGCATCGTGTATGCCATTTCATAGCATTGTGTATGCTAGGTTGTATGTTAGCGCATTGTGTATGCCATGTTACCTCGTGCATCGTGTATGCCATTTCATAGCATTGTGTATGCTAGGTTGTATGTTAGCGCATTGTGTATGCCATGTTACCTCGTGCATCGTGTATGCCATTTCATAGCATTGTGTATGCTAGGTTGTATGTTAGCGCATTGTGTATGCCATGTTACCTCGTGCATCGTGTATGCCATTTCATAGCATTGTGTATGCTAGGTTGTATGTTAGCGCATTGTGTATGCCATGTTACCTCGTGCATCGCCTCCGGGAACTCCAAACGAACACAAACATGGATGATCACCGAGTGTTCAAACGGTGACGTCCAAGTCTTAAGGACGGTCAAAAATGGGGTGTCTACAACTGTGCTTGGTGGCAAATCCGCAATCTTTAAGCCCACTTGATGTGGCAAATTTAAACCATTTTCGCAAACAAACATGAGTTCAATTGTTCCAAATTGAGCAAACTAGTTTATACTTGATTGTGCGCATCACATAGTAAAGCTAGTTTAATAACCGGAACAAGAACACATAATGTGTATAAAAAAATTATATCATGATTAGTAGAGGCTGGTCTTTGATCGGACGAGCAGGGATGCTCAATTCGGAACCTTCCCCTCTTGTACCCAAGTTCTCGAGCCTAGGCAACTTTGGTGATGACGAACACGTGGCCTTTGGCATGAGTCAGGGTTTCCTAAATTTTCCCAAAATAAAATATTTAGGTGGTGACTCTGTATCTAGCAAAGCAGTCCATGTTTGGCACTTCTTTCAAAATCTGTTTTTTCAAAACGATTTGCCGGATTTGGACTCTTTGGTTCAGATTTAGAACCGTGACAAATTGAGAGTCCAAACTGTAGTGAGCCCAATATCGAATGGAACGGGGGACTCGTTCCTCCCGGGGCGTTCGGGGACGTCTACAACGAGTTTGTTCTTGCAATTGCCTATATCCGCCTCCAAAGACATCTGTCGGAGAAGGACCCAATCCATATGTTCGAACACGACCAGGTCGCTCAGGCCCTAGAACCTGTGTGATAATTTCTTCATCTGTAGCATTGGATTGCGCCTCAAGATGCTTCATTTGTGTCTACAATTGTTAATTAGTAATTAGCCACCAATAAAATTCAGCCTACGAGCAAGACATAATTAGTTAATTCTCACTTCCAATTTGCAGGCACTGTTAAAGGTAACTCTCTATCAAATTTAACTATCTACTTTGTCTCTCTTCAAATTTAGATTTCTACTTTATTCATCAGGTAGTTTCTACATCAAATCTGTTCATAATTATGGTGCTACATACCATGACCTCAGCAACTTTATCATTACTTGGTTTGTTATCCTTCGAGTACCCAGCCATCCACACCTCTAAGCGAGTTGCAGGAACTCCATTCTTCTTATTAGTTTCCTACAATTACACTTAAAATTAAGTAACAAAATCAAAATATACAATTTCAATTTGAAATATAAAGAAACTATATACCTCTACTCGAACAACTGAGAATGGTTTTCTGCCAGTTATGTGATTTAATGTCTTCTTCTTCCGAATTTCTAGTTTTTTGTACTTTTTTTCTGTTACATATGAACACAAACACAAGATAATTTATTAATTTAACAAACTCTTATGAGATTACGATAGAGATCAATAAACAATTTAAATGATACCTGTGCCTTCCGAGTGCCCAATAATAGACTAAGCTTCGCCATTGATGCTCATGTACTCTTTCGGGTCGATGAGTTAACCTATCAGCATCGTTGTTGAATGGCGTATACCCCATTTGTTTAACTCTAGCCTTCCACTCTCTCCATTTTTTTTCTAACAGATGCCAAAACAAATTTCTTCATAGACTCATCGGCATCTGTATTGACCTGCAAATAATTGGCAACTTTGTCACTATTACATACACACAGTAGTCCACTCCGACATTAAAAAATACAAATATGAATCTCAATTCATCAAGCAATAGCAATAAATTACAAAGATAACAACTTTCTCCTGGATCTATAATAGATTTCACATTATCAATCAAAAACAAATTTCCACATATTTTAAAGAAGACGTGTGATTTTAAAGCAGTCATCTTCACTGCAACAGCTTTAAAATAATGTCTGCAATTTGATCTCTGCAAGGCCAAGCAGGTAACCTTTCCAAAAAATCAAAGCTTAAAATTGATCAACTACAAAATATGAAACAAATAAAATAAATAATAACAAATTAAGATTAAAATTGATATGTAAAATGAAATAATTCTTTTACCTTTACTTCTCTCCAAATTCTCTCTTTGTTTTCCTTTGGTACATGGCTCCAAGTTCTATAAGTAAGGGGCATAAGGTTCCCATCTCGAGCGAAAACACCCAAACGAGAAGCCAAGGGTGTATACCCATCAACCACTTGGTTCAACTCATTAGGCACAATATGTAAAATGCCACCACTTGGGTTCCAATCACTAGCATGCATGAGTGTTGGGCCTCTCGAACTATGACCTACTCATCCAAATATCAATATCAAGTCAGAAGATACTAGAAAGAATGATAAAAATTGATAAGATACTTGGGTTCCAGTCACAAAACTGTCGAAGAAATTAATGTAATTGTCAACAAAACATCACATCATCAATAAATTATTCATTGTCGTCGCGAGAGGGTGACAAAGGAAGCTACTTAAATACTTCATTGTCATCTATTATAGCGGTCAAGATGCAAAAGTGGCTTTAAATTTGAGTGTTCTGATATAACCATGGCTCATTCTGTGAATTAGGGAATAACAAAACCAAAAATCCAAAACCAAGGAGAAAATGGAGTAGTGCAACTTAGTTTAAAAAAAAGAAATGTAAAACATCAAAAGAAAAAAGAACATTAACAGAGAAATCTAATGGAGTAATTCAATTGAATAAAATAATTCATACCAGCAATAGTGTCATGTGTTGAACCAGTACTCGATGATGTACTAGGCAAGCTGCCTCGAGGATACCATGACATGGGTGGATCAGGTATGATGCGTGTACTCTCCTCTGAACTCTCATCTGAACTCCCACTATAAGAACTCTCATCTGCACTCCCACTATAAGAGCTCTCAGAATTTGCAGAGGCTGAATGTTGCCTCTGCCTAGAGCATTGTTGATCTGTCATGCTAGTTTACAGAAGACCACAAGCATACGTGTAGAATTTTATGGGTTAGCAAGGAATATAAAGTACAATAGATATGATAGTGAATACATTAAGACTTACCAAAATATTAAAAAAATTTCTCTACAAATTTAAATTTTAAACATAATCTTAATATAACAGGTATGATCATTCTCAAGGACATAAAAGGTTGTCTCAAGGACAATCACGTTGAAAGAAAAAAAATGACGCATTTTAAAAGCAAAGGTTTCATTAACATGAATATCCATGCTAAAAGCACAAATGTAACAATGAATATGAAACAAAATTACAATATCATATCATTTCTTCATCATCTTCAGATTGTGTTTGTGTCAATATCCCAAGAGGTCCAATAGTTTCATCAATAGTTGTTCCAACTTCACCTTGTCTAACCCAATTTATTTCCTCTTCACAAGCAAACGAGGTTGCATCTAACTCTTGGTCGGCAAATCCTTCCACTTCATTGTGATGTTCTCCATCATTAATTGGTTGTTCTCCACACACCTCATACAAGTCTCTAGGTTTCATCTTGACTACAACATCCCAATCAGCTCCAACGGGATCATTAACATAGAAAACTTGTTGTGCCTGAGATGCTAGGATGAATGGCTCATTGCTATTTTGTTTGTTTGTATATAACAAATGATTGAAATTAACAAGTGTGAAACCAAACCCATCCTGCTTCAATCCTTTGTTGTTGTCAATCCAGTCACACATGAATAGCACATATCTACGGTCGTATAAGTAATACAATTCAATAATATCTGTCACATATCCATAGTATGCTACTTCACCTTCCACAGGATTCATGTCTCTGGTACTTGCATAGCTACAAGTCTTTACTTTCACCATAACCCCACTATTTTGAGTTTTTCTTCTCCACTCATGACTCCTTGTATGATACCTAGTACCATTAATTATATACCCACTGAATCTCGTGGCCTTTTTACTAGGTCCCAGTGCCAAAGTTTTAATCTCATCTGACAACAAACATTTTGAATAGCTAGAAGCTCTTCAACCTATTTTTACAAAGTTAACAAAATTAAACATCAACTAATAGAGAATTAAAAATTGAAAACATGAGAATTGAAAATTAGAAATATGTAAGTTATTAGTACTTACATGAGAATTAAACCATCTGGGAAACTCATCATTGTGACGTCGATCCACATCAAAATCTTTGAGACGACGATGTGACCGCTTAATAAAATCACGATGCTCCCTATACATTTAAAATACTTATAAAATGCAAGATACTTATTAATGGTATCAATAAAATTTTGAAACAAAGATTGTATCTTACTCTCAATATGGGACAACCGCAGCAGTGTTAAATAACACATACCGATGAGCTTGTACCCATGATGTGTTATCAAGCGCAAACCCTTCTCCTTTGCCTAAAGCATGACCTAGGAATATCCCAGGATTGTCGTTAACATCGTAATTCCTTATTGGCCGATTCAATTTTGACTCGACATCATCCAAGTACCTTGAGCAAAAGGTCATACACTCTTCAACTAAGTATCCCTCCGTAATTGAACCTTCTGGATGACTTCGATTATGCATATATGACTTAAGTGTCATAAGATACCTATAAACAAATGCACACATGACTTTCAATTATAAACAAACAAATGAATACAACTGTAAATTGGAGTAGAATTGCACACCTTTCTATAAAGTATATCCAGCGATATTGCACTGGACCGGCAATCTTGGCCTCCTCTGCTAGGTGAATAGGCAAGTGCTCCATTATATCGAAAAAGGATGGAGGAAAAATTCTCTCGAGATGACAAAGTGTAAGAGCAATTTGGGATTGAAGATGATCTAACCCATCTGGCTCTAGAGTTTTGGAGCACAACTGCCTGAAGAAATTGCTTAACTCAATCAGTGGTTCAACAACTTTCTTTGGTAACAAATTTCTCACTGCTATTGGAAGTATTTGTTGCATCAATATATGGTTGTCATGACTTTTCATATGTTGTTTGAGGTTAACACGACGAGAAATATTGGATGCATACCCATCTGGAACTTTGATATTCTTCAAGAGTGTACAAAACAAACCTCTCTCTCTATTGTTCATAGCAAAACATGCAGGCGGCAAATAATACTTGTTCCCAACCCCTTTTTTAGGATGTAATGCCTTTCGAATTCCCATATCTTGCAAGTCTCGACGAGCATTTAAATTATCCTTTCCTTTCCCATCAACATTTAATATCGTCCACAATACATTATCACACACGTTCTTCTCAATGTGCATTACATCAAGATTGTGGCGAATCAAATTATGCTCCCAATATGGAAGCTCAAAGAAAATACTCCTCTTCCTCCAATTATGATCCTCCTCGTTGTCCTCTTTTTCCTTTCCTTTCCTAGTTCTTTTTTGCCTGTTAGTTGGTTGATGCTTAGGCCCTAGCTGTCGTAACACATTAGCCCCCGATAACCGAGTTGGACATGGTTCAAATTCAGAAGTTCCATCAAACGACGCACCATCTTTTCGAAATTTATGACTCGCATTCAACCAGCGGCGATGCCCCATGTAACAAATTTTCCTTCCATTCTTTAAATACCGATGTCGAGTACGTATGTTACAACAAGGACAAGCTAAAGCACCTTTGGTGCTCCATCCAGACAAATTTGCATATGCAGAAAACTCATTTATTGTCCACAGTAAGACCGCGTATAATTAGAACATTTGATTAGTTTCTACATCGTTTGTCTGAACACCATTTTCCCACAATTCATTCAATTCATCCACTAACAAGCGCAAGTAGACATCAATGTTATTGCCAGGTGAAGAAGGACCATCAATGAGCAATATCATCATAATATGAGGTTGTTTCATGTACAACCACGGTGGCAAATTATAAGGCATCACAATAACTGGCCAACTGCTGTGAGCAACATTCATTGCCTTGAATGGATTAAATCCATCCGCTGCTAAACCTAGTCTGACGTTGCGAGGCTCACTCGCAAACTTGGGATACAAAGTATCAAAATTTTTCCAGACAGGAGAGTCAGCAGGATGCCTCATTTTGCTGTCATCAATTCGGCCCTCTACATGCCATCTCATTAATGAAGCAGTTTTGGATGACATGAACAATCTTTGAAGCCTTGGAATCAAAGGAAAGTATCTCACAATCTTTTGTGGAATTCTTTGTTGCTTCTTTTTATAATCATTCTTCTCACACTCAAACTGTTTGTATCTAGGCGTCTGACACACTATACAATCATCCCTACTAGCTGTCTCCTTCCAATACAGTGAGCAATCTCTTGGGCATGCATGTACCTTGTGATAATCGAGGCCTAATTTCCTAAGGAGTGCCCTCGTTGCATAGAACGACTTTGGCAAAGTTTCACCTTTTGGAAATGCATCCTTCAAAAGTTTAAGCAACATCGTGAAAGACTTGTTGCTCCATCCATTAAGGCACTTGATATGCAATAATCGAACAACAAATGAGAGCGTTGAAAACTTGTGACACTCTGGATACAACTCTCTTTCGGCCTCCTTCAATAAACTGAAAAATCTTTCAGTTTTCTTATCCGGGCCTGGTTCAATATTAGAACTTCCAGTCTTATTACTAGCAAGATGAACCAAGCTTGGTGGAGGAAGTCCGAACCCCTCATATATCATTTCATTGACTTCATCGCCATCATTCGAATCACTGACATTCTCATTCAATGACATAGACACCGATAAATCTTCCCCGTGAAAAATCCATCTGGTGTAGCTTGGAAGAAACCCATTGACCATTAAATGTTCTCCCAAAAGGTCTTTCTTTCCTAGTTTGACATTCCGACACCATTTATATGGACATGTGACTTCATTGGATAGAAGATTATTTTGGCAAGCAAGTTTAACAAATTCCTTAACCCCTTCTATATATTCTGGATGCAACCTATGCTGATTTATCAAACTTTTATCCATCTGACTTCGTCTTACACTACAAATGTCACTGTCAAATCAACAAAGTTTAAAATTATCATTTCATTTTAATTATTCTTAAGCTCAATTAAGTACCTTATAATTCATGCGACATGACACCATTCACCTCTAACTCTTCTCTAATAGGTTGGTTCATCCTACTTTCCCATTCAGGATTGCACAGTCTATATTGTAAAAAGTAGCTCATACCGCTCTATCCATCTCTAACGAAATTTCGGCAGCATCTCCCCGTGGTTCTCCAAGTACACTACACAGACTGGGTGTATTGCTACACCTTGTCTAGTATGCACCCGGAGAACATGAGGAGCTACTACACGAAATCTCTACGAGATGGACTATATTTAAGCAGTAGAACTACTAATTACAACATAGACTTGTGCTCCTGAACTGTCCAAACTGGACAATCCAAGAAGAGCCTCATCAAAGATGACTAGGTATCTCTGATGAAGATTCTTGGACGGGTCTATGGCTATTTATGCATACATGGATAATTACTTGCTAAATTAACAACTGTCATGATTTTTACATCCCGGTGGTGCAACTTGAATCAACACTATCAAGCATACTAGAAACATTTCTAGCATGAAGCATATTAATGAAGAAACTAAAAGTTTCTACAATGCTCTTGATAGATTATGATATAGAACTTCATCAAGATGACTAGGTATCTCTAATGAAGATTCTACAAGAACAACCAGATTATCCTGATTGATCACAAAGTAAAAAATTCCATGATTGTAGTTGATAGCACATAACAATGGCAAGTACTAGATATTAGGTATGCTTCATTTAGTTTGTTCTTGTACTCACAAGTAAGCAACAAGTTCTCACTACTACATGAACACCAACACATACCAATATATCTTAGTAGTGTTCTATTTCATTTGTATAGCACCATTTTTGTGTCCCTATCAAAGCCCAAAAAGAAAACTGTGCAGACGAGGGTAGATTTCAAATTACTTAACAAAAAATTATGATAAACATTAGAAATTCAAAATCATAATGTTACACAAAAAATATAAGCACAAAAAATATAGACCAAGCACACTTGCCAAATAGATAATTAATTGAAAAAATCCAAATAATCTCATACATTGTCACTCTGAGATCATGAGACCATCTATAGTATAAGCTATCTAATCCCAAACTGTCTTGTAAATCAATTACCACCCCCTCTCAAAAGTAATGAAAACAAACAAATCTACAAAATCTTAAATTAGAGAGTTAATTGATTTGAAAAACAGAGAAAGTAATGAAAAACAAACAAAACTACCAAATAATTAATTGCTTTGAAAAATGTACCTGAGATGAAGAGCAAGTGAGATTGATCTGGTTCAACTATCTTTGAAAGCAGTATATCAATTATCGTACCTCAAATAGAATATTTTGTAATACAAAAAATTAAATTAATTATGATCTAAAAAGCAGAATATTACTAGATAAGATGTAATAAAATACCAAAAAAATGAAAAATGAAACTCTTTTAAGCCAGTGTAATGGTAAACATAATAGCTGTAAATGACGAAAGAGGCAATGAAGATTCTAATGAAAATTATAAGCACAAATTTTCTGTGAGCATCTAATGATGTTTTATTTCTTCATGAATATGTGACATTCATGAATTTACATACCCCTTATCTACCTCTATATCCTTCCCTGACTTGCTTTTGGGCCTCTCCCTTTCCCCAACGCCACCAAAATATTTACTTTTACTTCTCCCAGGGCTATACATTTCGTTTGAATATGTATCTTTATAACCCTTACCATCTTCCACTCCAATCTCAACAATCTCACTTCCTTGAAAGTCTTTTGGGTGAATAATTGGATGGGTTTAATATATACCATGAGATTTATTATACTATGTTCGGTTTGGGAGGGTAAAGAATAGGATAAGAGCTGGAGGATTATTTAGCGTTCAAAAAGTGAACAATATTTTCCATGAAAAAATATATTGCCCCATGAAGAAATAAATGATTCTATTCTACTTTGGATGGTATTTGAATTCTGAACATAATACTTGGCACTCTGATAATACATTGATACCAAAAAAGCACATGATGACCATTATTCCAATCTCAAAGTGATTATATCACCCCCCCCCCAAAAAATGGAAAACATTTGTCTTGATGCTTTATAAAAATGTCAAATGAATGAATATTTTTTTTCTCAAAGGGTTAATTTTCTGAAACTTACCAATGAAAAACACAGCAGCTCCAATGAATATAGCTCGAAATACTCAACCAGATTCTTTTGCAATATACTCTATCAGAAATACCAACGATCCTGCTAACAGTGTTCCAAGTCCTCTGTTCAATCCTTTGCATAGTGTTGCTCCTACCATACAAGAAACATCTACGATCAAATAAATCACCTTTCTTTATACCTTTCTGTTTGGGCCGAGAATATTATCCTAGAACTTTTTTTATTTATTTATAAAAAATCTCTTTTTAGAAAAGAAAATACATATGCATAGTGATGGGCATTATTAGCATTTTCATTTCCTTTTGGTCTGAGCTTAGGAAATTAAGCTCAAGCCTGATTTCAGGATTGGGCCACTACATTTTATGTTTATGTAGTTTCAGACTGGCTTGAACATGACTCTAGAAGCCAAAAGATTAATTGATATGTCCAGCAGATTAATTTAGAAAATATATACAAACAAAGACCAGTGGTGCAGTGCAAAAACACCAGAGCCCTTGGAGTCAGCCAAGCTCATCATTTGAAATTGTACCAGAGAAAAATAGATTACATGCCCCCTTAATACATATTCTAGAATAATAAAAACTATAAGGAGTTATCTCAGCCATACATTTGGTTACTTTATATATATGAGAAATGTAGCAACAATATGACTTTAGGTTTATTTGTTGAACTGCAAAATTGGATTTCCAAAGTTAGTGATATATCAAAGTGATATTTAAGCTGGGTAAGATAATAACAATTGTGGTTCTGTGGTGAAAGAAAGTGATACTTGGAACTACTTTATTACAGAAATGTATCATTTGAAGGTACAGCATGAAAATTATTACATTCCCACTCTGTAAGAAAAACAGAAAACTACAGCATTCACTTAATACAAAGTCTTGCTCCATTAGGTTCCCAAGAAATGTAGAAGTTATACAGGAAAACAAAGCAGCAGTTGTAGAATTTCAATGGGTAACAACTAACATCATCATGGTCATTGCAATCAAGCACACATAACTCAGACAAAGAAGATAAAAGGAACTGCATAATTTAGCATGCCAGATAACAAATGTTCATAAGGTTGTAACATGATGGATGCAGACTTGCAACCATATCTGCAAAATGTACAATACATATATATATCTATGTTGCCAAGAGTTTGAATTATAAG